TCTGGTAATAAGCTACGCACATATAGACAGTTTAAGTACACTGTTACTCCAGAACCATATATAACTGCTATACTGCCCAGATGGCACCGTAGCGTTCTGGGTAAACCTCGCTGTGGTACACTTCCATTAGAAATAGAACGTCGTAGATTTTCTCGTCCTGCGGCGCCACTTGCAGACAGGCTTTGTCGTCACTGTAGTAGTCAGGCTGTCGAAGACGAAGTCCATTTGTTAGTTAGCTGTCCTTATTATTCTAATCTTCGGTATTATTTGTTTAGAAAAACTAGTATCTTATACCCAAATTTTGCTCACTTATCACACACTGAACAAGCTACACTCCTCTTACAAACAGAAATTATTGTTAATCCACTGTCAGCTTTAGTTAGCCGTATGTATCGGCGTAAGCTATCATCCCTATAATTTTTTTCTTTTTCCTTCGGTCTTTCTTATGTGTGATGCTCCTTAATGTTTTAATCTTATGTTTTATACATTTTATGCACATATTGTCTAGTGTGTCTCATTGGCCATCTGGCCTGGTGTCTGTATTTTTCTATGTCTTTTTACCGTTGCCATTTTTGGACATGTACATTCACGTGACACATAAATTAACTATTTTGTGACTGTCTGTCTGTCTTATTGGAAGATACCATGATAGAGACCTCACGGAGACCCCACCGCTACTGCACTACGACTTTATGCGAGGGAGTGCGATCGAGGGCTATATTTCGGTCATAGATCGGTCGGACACCCGGTATAAACATGGTATTACGACAAGCATGGGTTACTGAAGACAAGTTCTAAAGTAACCCATGCTTGTCATAAGAGGCAACTACCGGGATCGGGTGGTCAGGCTCACTCACTTGGTTGTAGATCTACAACTGTTATGTAAAGGATCTGTGCTTGTGGTAGATATCCAGTTTACATTCACTAGAAAACCTCATCGATCTACGTAGTCTGAAGTCCAGTGTAGATCCTGTGACGGGTGTTGATCTGCCCGTGTGGGCGCATAATCAACTCAACTTTAGTCATAGTTTAGGATATTCCTAGCATAAGCGGATCCAGAGGTCGGGGTCCGGGTGGTGGGGTGTGTGTGTGTGTGTGTGGTGGTGGTGGTGTGTGTGCGTGCGTGAGTGAGTGCGTGTTCGTGTGTGTGTGTGTGTGTGTGTGTGTGTACAGGGTGCGCACACACCTTTTTTGTCCTGAAAGTATATTAAATGACCACTGAAACTCTCGTGGAAATGAAGTGTGAACCCCCACTTTCTCAAGAGTGCACCCCCCTTTCTCAAAAAGCTGTATCCGCCCGTGTCCTGAGATACTCTAATTTGGGTGTAGATTCATCCCAGCTAACACACAACGTGTTGGCAACGTTGTGGGAAGGCTGTAGCTAAGATACAAAGCGTTCACTGACATGAACGTTCATTTCAGTGAACGCTATGTATCTTAGTTAGGAAGGTTGTAGATTGGTAACATCATGACACAACTGTGTCACAACGTAAGTATAACGTCATTTTATGGTCCAGACTCAATTGTTTACTGACAGCTAGCATATAGCTGGAATATTGCTGAGTGAGGCGTAAAACTAAATTCACTCACTCACTACGTCATTTTATAACGTTATGTCACATCGTTACATAGATACGTTGTCACAGCGTTGTGTATCAACTGTTACAGTGAGTGAGTGAGTTTAGTTTTACGCCGCACTCAGCAATATTCCAACTATATTATTATATGGCGTCGGTCTGTAAATAAACGAGCCTGGACCAGACGATCTAGTGATCACCAGCATGAGCATCGCTCTGCGCAATTGGGAACCGATGACATGTGTCAACCAAGTCAGCGAGCCTGACCGCCCGATCCCGTTCGTCGCCTCTTACGAGAATCATAGTCGCCTTTTGTGGAAAGCATGGGTTGCTGAAGCCCTATTCTACCCCGGATCTTCACGGGTCTCGACTGTTACACAATAACATGGTGTCACGATAGGGTTTTCTGTAAAGCTTTTCACTTTGAGATTCTTTCTTCACTATTCAGCTACAGCTTCCGAAAACACACGGCCCAAACAACATGCAATTTGACGAATAAACATTGAAGTGAATTACTGTTTTGTTTCTCATGTACTGTTCACTACTGGGAAAACTATTCAACTATTAACGTGACTTTTCACAACGTCACGTCACGTACATGGGGTTCACAGAATAACGTTGTGACGAGGAATTGTTAGCTGGGATTACAAATGTTAAAATGATAGATATGACCGTTGTTTCACACACACGAAAACACACATCAAATAATTATGTATGTATGTATGTATGTATGTATGTATGTATGTATGTATGTATGTATGTATGTATGTATGTATGTATGTATGTATGTATGTATGTATGTATGTATGTATGTATGTATGTATGTATGTATGTATACAGCATAATATATAACGCAACTAACTAAATATAGGCCACCAAGGTCATATGTAACGCCAGCATCTATATATACACCAAGGGTCAGTGAGGATACTCCTATGATGGATATTTAGATGTACATATTACAAGTGACCTTGGTGGCGTATACATGATAACAGTTATATGTATCACCAGCATCTAAATATACACTAAGTACACATTCTGACCAGATAACAGAGTTCAACGTCTGCTCATCGTTATACATAGCTCACCCAAACAACGCTATCTGTCCAAAACAAAGATAGCAATCTGATACACCATGCGATGCAATAACCTTCTAGGTCACGTGAGTTGTGCCCCTGATATTATCCTTCGTGTAAGCACGCCCTCGCCTCTCTCATTCGCACAGCCGTACTATAAACGTGACGCCTTAGCCTTATTCATAGAAGAAACGGTAATGTTACGGTGTGATTCCTAAATTGAAACGGAGCTCGGCAAATCGTCATGGCAGCTAATGGTTCGTTTGTTGTCTAAAACCGCACCCAGCGATGTTCCAGCTATATGGCTACGGTCTGTAAATAATCGAGTCTGGACATGACAACCCTGTGATCAACAACATGAGCACCAATTTATGCAATTGGGATACGATGCCATCTGTCAACCAAGTCAGCGAGCCTGACCATCCGATCCCGTTAGTTGCCTCTTACAAGCCAGGGCCTAGATTTTCGAAACTCTCTTAGCGCTAAGATAGTCGTAAGTGCCATACATTAACATTAACTTACGACTATCTTAGCGCTAAGAGAGCTTCGAAAATCTAGGCCCTGTGTTACTGAAGACCCATTCTAATCCTGATCTTCTCGGATTCGGTAGTGACTGAAACCTTGGTGGCGGTGCTAGAAATGTATACGTACATAATTAAAGTGTGAATTCATTAAATGATAATAAAAAGGATGACTATTTGGTTAATTATAATAAAGCAAACAGTTTTGGGGTATACGATAAAACAGGCAATATATTGGGTTTTTAACAGGACTTAGAATAATGTTATTTATTGATCAACGTTCAGAATATTGTTACTAATGAATGAATCGGAAACAAACCACAGACGGGTCCATCCTTGAAGCCAGACTATTGATGGGAGTTGGCAGCAATTTGGTGTTTTCAGGTAAGTATCCAATCTGCACTTGGCAAGTATTACATCCACAACACGAAGAGGCCTCGTATGGATGTCATAGATGTATCTGCCAACTGCCCCACCCCGAAACTTCTCCAACGATCGAGCTTGACATGTTCATGTAAACAACAAGGTACCAATAACTCGAACTGGGGCAACTCCTTGGAAAAAACAATTCGCAGCTATTGACAGCAGCTTAAATCCGGCTAAGACAGCACCTGGTATATTTTGCTGCCATAGGAATTTACTACGAATATGTTACACTAAAACTACTTCCACATCACGCTAACAGCTGTAAAACAACAGCTAGCTCCATTGCACAAATATGATAACAGTGAGTGAGTGAGTATGATTTTACGCCGCTTTTAGCAATATCCCAGCAATATCACGGCGGGGGACACCAGAAATGGACTTCACGTATTGTATCCTGTGGGAAATCGAACCCGGGCCTTCGGCGTGACGAGCGAACGCTTTAACCACTAGGTCACCCGACCGCCCCTGATAACAAGTTAATCTCCCCACAATCCTTGACAGCATCCTCTTGGTTTATCATCTTTTTGAAGCCATAGCGTTTAATACGAATCACGCCAGTTCCATCATGGCGGCAAACCTTCGAGATTTAATTGTCGAAAAAGTTCAAATAAGTATGTTGAATGAAGCGTGTTTTGTAAAGCATACTGCATGCATGTAGACTGTTACAGTAAAATAAGAACATTCGATCTATTCATAGCAACATATTTATCGTTACACGTTTCGCTTTAAGAAAATTAACTCTAGCTAGGTTTCTATGTTATATAGGTACAGTATTGTATTTATGGTATCAAAAATTAAATTTGTAAAACCAATTAATCATTTTATATATAAGCTTCGCATCAGTTCTAAAGAATTAAATTTTTATCAGCATCAATTTTGGGATATCAATAATTCATTTGAGATTTCGGAAGTACTTGTCTGCAAAAAAATCATGTATACAATCAGGAGTAGACAAATCTAATAGTGTGGTGTAGGCCAGAATAACACATCCCCTGTTGAGAAGAGGATCTTGCGGCGCGGTCGTGAACTACCGGCAGATAACTCTAATGTGTCGTGTTACCAGCGTATCGTAAACAGAGACATTCTGTTACATTGATATCAACATGAGCGGGGGATTGGCCCCGAGTAGAAGTACCATTTATGTGTCTAACTTACCATTTTCACTCACAAACAATGATATGCACAAGATATTTGCCAAATATGGGAAAGTTGTCAAGTAAGTAGGTTCGGACAGCCGGACACAGACTGTCAACGTTAGTGTCACTCACAAACGGGGGAGTACTGCACTTTACCGGGCGCACTTTTTCAGATTAATTAGCGATGCTGGGGTTCCCTAACCCTAACCCTAAGGATCGTAAAGGGTGCCTAACCCTGAACCCTAACCCTTGGGATCGTGTTGTTAATAATCCATGTACAAACATGTCACCACTCACCCATGAAATATGTTCATTTCTTTCAGACATCTTTGGCACTTTAGCTCAAAGTTACGTCTCCGATATTTATTAATAATCAATCGATATTTAGTTGACGGTTATCTGTCTCTATGAACTATAGATAGCCTGGCCTTCAAAGAAATCATTTGTCCTGGTTTTGTACCAAGTGTACTGCAGTACATTTCAGAGTTAGATAACTCTACCAGCGACAGTGTTGAGTGCAGCAACTGGGACTGAAACAGGTCAGGGGGGAAGTCATGATGTAACTATAAGCTGGCAAGTGACCGACATGAAGTCCTGCCAGCAGTGTTTCAGGCACCAGAACAAGTTAAGCTATACCTTATCCAAATGTTAGCGGTATTTGGACTGTTATGAACATAAATTTCTCGATTATCCATGAACAATTGTAAAACTGTTGCTAAAACCAACTTTATGTTATTCACAAGCCATCTTCGTCATAGAGCAAGTAAACACGGCACATGGTTGGTTTGTTGTTTAACGTCACACTCAGCAATATTCCAGCTATATGCTAGCGGTCAGTAAATAATCGAGTCTTGACCAGACAATCAAGTGATCGACAGCATGTGCATTGTCCTGCACAATTGGGATTCAATGACATGTGTCAACCAATTCAGTGAGTCTGACCACCTGATCCTGTTAGTCGCATTTTATGACGAGCATGGATTGCTCAAGACAACCTATATGTATCCTGGATCTTCTCCGGTTCACTGCCCATGATGTTAACAAGGTTATATTGCTGCTTCTTTGTAATTGGGGTGGTAATGTAGCTTTGTGCTTAAAGCGTTCACTCGTCATGCTGAAGACCAGGGTTTGATTACCCACATGGGTACAATGTGTGAAGCCCTTTTCTGGTGTCCCCAGCCGGGATATTGCTGGAATGTTGCTAAAAGCAGTGTAAAACAGTACTCACTCACTCTGGTGTCCCCTACCATGATATTGGTGGAATATGGCTAAAAGTGTTGTAAAACCATACCAACTCACTGTATGTAATGAAGAAAAGTGATTGTACTATTCCATTCCAGAGTGACAGTCATGAAGGACAAGGATACACGGCGGAGTAAGGGCGTGGCTTTTGTGCTGTACCTCGAACGGGATGCAGCTCACAAAGCGGTCCGCTCTCTCAACAAGTCTCAGGTAGTGTTGTCTCCACAAGTGTACAGACAAGTAAATTCCAATGCAGAGAAGTATTTAAAACATTGAAAAACTTGATTATGTGTATTATGTGCATTTAGTGATAAATTTACTTTTCTGCAGAGGAAGAGGAACAAGTTTCAGTGTAGATGCTAACACAATTATGAGTGAGTGAGTGAGTTTAGTTTTACGCCGCACTCAGCAATATTCCATCTATATGGCGGCGGTCTGTAAATAATCTAGGTGGACCAGACAATCCAGTGATCAACAGCATGAACATCGATCTGCGCAATTTGGAACTGATGACGTGTGTCAACCAAGTCAGCGAGCCTGACAACCCGATCCCGTTAGTCATCTCTTACGATGAGCATAGTCGCCTTTTGTGGCAAGCATGGGTTGCTGAAGACCTGTCCTACCCCGGATCTTCACGGGTCTAACACCATTATGAAGCAAGTTATCCATTAAACTTGTTCCTCTTCATCGTACTTCTAAATGCCACTTAAAGAAGTAACTTGATCAAGACAAAGACATGGAAATAATCATATAAATATACCAGTTTTTATTCACTGTTTCACATGAGCAAAGAAGTTTTTAATGTCATGCATGAACAAATGAACATGAATGTATAGAAGATGAATATGTAAAGGTTATTCCATTTTAAGACATAAGTATATTCCTGAATATTATGGAAACATCCTTCTATTTATAAATGTAATGAATTATTAAGTTTTGATAAAGTAAATATCCTAATTAACTTAGCAATATTTGTAAAACTTTAAAAGAAGCTTTAAGGTTAAGAAATGTTTGAACGGTGTACCTAACCATTTTGTCACTATCATTGTTATTTTGTTGAGTTTTGTACTTGTGCTTATGATCTATATTTTGAATAAACTTTGGATATTTAATTGCCTGTATGAACATACATGTATTTAATGCCCTATAGGATTTAACCATTGGCTTTTCAAAACTGAAACAGGTATGATCAATTGCAATGAAAAGGAAGGGCAGAGACTCTATTTTTACCACACAATGTATTATTACCTAGTTCATGATGGGAAAAGTTCACTAAGATCAAAGAACCATCAAGAGTATCCTTCTAGTTGGCTCAGATATACATGTATTAAAAGAGAACATCTGAAAACATCTTTTGGAGTGGCCGGTGACACACACTCAGCTGAAAATATTCTTTCCTCTCATCGTTAATTGCTGAAAAAGTATATCAAATATGTGTTACCATGGTTACTTATTACTTCCTGTTCTTGTTTGACAGATGTTTGGGAGAACAATCAAATGCAGTATTGCGAAAGACAATGGCAGAACGACTGAGTTCATCAAGAAAAAGACGTACAAAGATAAATCACGGTGCTATGAATGTGGGGTGAGAGGAACTTCACTGAGTTATATTTCTTCTTTTTCATTCACCTTTGGTTCTAATAGCAGTGGACTGCCTCCGTGGTGTAGTGGTTAGAGCGTCCGCCCGGAGAGTGGAAGGTCGTGGGTTCGATCCCCGACCATGTCATACCAAAAGACGTTAAAATATGGTACTTGTTGGTCCATGCCTGTCGCTTCGGCATTAATAGGTACCACAAGGACTGGTCGGCTCGGAGTCAGTATAATGTGTCTGAGTGGGGTATTCATGCTTCACTGCGGCATGGTATCTCAGTGGGCTAGCACAATAAAACCAGCTTCAGTCTGGGCTAGTACAAGCAGCCGCACATACACACGCATGCATGTCATCATATGAGCGAAATATTCTCAAGTATGACGTAAAACCCAATTTCACTTCTAATAGCAGTGTTAAATTTGCATTTGTTTTCTTTGCCTTTTTAGCTTTTAGAAATCATAGTAGTAAAAAATGATAAATGGCATCTCCACTGTTTGAATGATCTGTTGTGTTTTACTCCACATTATTAATATTATAATACTAGGGTAGGGATGGGGAGGTTTCACTTAATACAATTATTGCAACTGTGTGGAAGTGAATCTCTGTCATCCCACTGACCTTATCCACTTGCCTACCCCATCATACCTATCGCCCCTAAACAATTGTAGTCATGGTAATCAAATTTCAGTGTTGTACATGAGCTGACTGCTTCAGGATTTTCCCCATCTCTCTCAGCAATGTCTGTAAATGTCTAAAATCGCCCAGAACATTATTTTCTGTGTCTGTTGTTGATAATAGTCAAGTCAATTTCATTGTACATATTGAAACAGAGACAATGAGTCAGCCCTCTCTCTCGTTTTACTGGTATTGTTTTCAAATGTTACTTGCTGTGATACATTGGGAGGGAAAAGTAAGGTGAGTGTTTGTGAGCTGTTCTGCAGCTTACAATCTCCAGGATCCACTTTCAGGATATTTCAACACAGTTCTGCTGGCACCATTCCCTTGTTCACAATGCGGCAGACGCCTACAACCTGTCCTCTGTACACACAATACAGTAACACTGTAGTATTAGTGAAACTTGAATATCGATGAGTATTTCAGGTTTGTTGTTGGATGTAGGGCTGGAACAGGTAACTTGGATACCCGTGACGGGTGGGTAAAGTGTTGGACCCGGGTTCCCATCACATTACCTGAGCCGCTTTGATCACGTGACTAATTAATGAAGAATTAATTGAATGTGTTTGTTTGTGACGGATTCAAAATATTTCTAGACACTGCTCTTAATCTCTCCCAGGACTGATTTTATTGAAGGGGAATAACTCGCAATTGGTGTTATAATGGGTACCCGGGTCGGGTCGGGTAGTAGGGGGTCGGGTACCCGGGTAGGAAATTTGGACCCGTTCCAGCCCTAGTTGGATGTGTGATGCTATTTTTAACAGGATGAGGGACACTTGAGCTATCAATGCCCAAAGAACCTGCTGGGAGATCGGGAGCCTCCGGAGAAGAAAAAGAAGAAACAGAATGATGAAGATGAGGAGTATGTTTTCTCTAGATCAACTCTCAGATAAGAAATTACTTCCTCAAATTGTATCTTATCATGGATCAAATCATAGATGAATGATTTTCCTGATATTTAAATATTTTGTTAGTTTCCTAACTTTCAGAAATTCTACGGAGAAGAAGAACAAAGCTCTTGCATATAATTCATAACGTTATTTGAGTATATTGCACAGTAGAGAACTTCATTGTATCCCTCCAGCAAATTCAAATGAACAAACGGGTGATGACAAACTTGGATCACAGAAATGTGAAATTTAAGACGAAGCACTATTAGACATAATGATTTACAATTTGCTGTTTTGCTGTACTTGGCAAAGGTATAATTTGCTGGTGCACTCTAACAATTGCAAAATTGTTACTCAATCAGTAATAAATGATCCTTAGCTACTTTGGATTTCACCACAGAGAACATATATTTTCCAGGGATGAAAAAGATTCTGACAAGGAAGAAGATCAGACTCAAGACAGTCTATCAGCAGCTATTCGCTACCAGGTAACACTTTTAACACTGATGCAGTCATCATTTCAAAGTTCATTACTTTTGTGTGTATTTTAACATGCCATGGAAATGTTGGGAAATACAAGGTCAAGGTCAGATTCAATTTTCTGTAAAACGTTCAAATGAAACATAAGATCTAATCTAATCAATTAATTTGTATGGTAAGTTGCAATATTTAAATTTAAATATCATAAAATGGTGTCCTGTGCACTGAATGATGGTAGTGCCATCCTTCTGATTTTCATCAGCTGATATCAAGATAGCTGAGAGTTGATCATCAGCTGATATCAGGATGGCTTTGAGGTGATCATCAGCTGATATCAAGATGGCTCTGAGTTGATCATCAGCTGATATCAAGATGGCTCTGTGTTGATCATCAGCTGATATCAAGATGGCTCTGTAATGATATCAAGATGGCTCTGATCATCAGCTGATATCAAGATGGCTCTGTGTTGATCAGTTGATCATCAGCTGATATAAAGATGGCTTTGAGTTGATCATCAGCTGATATCAGGATGGCTTTGAGTTGATCATCAGCTGATATCAAGATGGCTCTGAGTTAATCATCAGCTGATATAAAGATAGCTTTGAGTTGATCATCAGCTGATATCAAGATGACTTTGAGTTGATCATCAGCTGATATCAAGATGACTTTGAGTTGATCATCAGCTGATATCAAGATGCCTCTGATTTGATCATCAGCTGATATAAAGATAGCTTTGAGTTGATCATCAGCCGATATCAAGATGACTTTTAGTTGATCATCAGCTGATATCAAGATGACTTTGAGTTGATCATCAGCTGATATCAAGATGACTTTGAGTTGATCATTTGTTACATGTTCATTAGCTTTGACTTGATTATGACAGGGGCGGTGGGGTAGCCTAGTGGTTAAAGCATTGGCTCGAAATGCGGAAGACCCTATTTCGATTCCCCACAAGAGTACAATGTGTGAAGCCCATTTCTGGTGTCCCCAACTGTGATATTGCTGCAATATTGCTAAAAGCAACATTAAACTCACTCACTCACTCACTTGATTTTGACTGCAGAAGTTGTTGTCAGATGTTGTTACTTTTTGCAATTGCCTCTGTATGGTTATAAACACATAAAGAAATAGGGGAACTGTCATTGCTGTGTAAATATGTAAGAACATTTCCACAAATCATGTATGTTTGTTGGTTAATGCCACCCGATATGCCACCCTATATGTTGGCTGATTGGAAGTAAAAGAGGCAATGGTCCCGAGGGTCGGTCTACTTAATTGGGATATGATGACTTGCATCATCCAAGTCAATGTATTGAAGAATCCAATCCATTTTGTTAAAGTAATCATCAGTTTTTTTATTTACATGTTACCCTCAGAGATGCCAACCCCAAAGTGTTGCAAATAGTAGTTTTAAAGATCAAAAGTAGTAGTTTGACCATAAGATTAGTAGTCAACTAAATACTTAAAAGTCATGATGGATTCTGAGAAAGATAATATGACACTAATCAAGAGTGAAGCTTTAATTTCACATACCTCCAACAGCAGATTTCCAAATTATCAGCATTACATTTCTTCTTGTCTCTTTTTAGCGAAAATGTATGTTTTTGTCTATATATCCGAATTTTAATTAATTTTCTTCAAATTTCGTAGAAATTCTAGTGCAGTTGTATTGGCGTAGTTTGAGGCTAAAATTTGTAGCGACTACAATAAAATCGTAGAGGTTGGCATCTGTGTACCCCTGAAGATCCGTGTTAGAATAGGTCTTCAGCAACCCCTGCTTGTCATAAGTGGCGACTAACAGGATATATTCAATAATGTTGCAGCTATATGGCAGTGGTCTGTATATATAGGCCAGGAGCATTAGACACAACCAATAGGTAACATTGGAAAAAATAGTAGAAAGCTGAATTTTTCAGGAAAGCTTCAGAACATCATTGCCATATACAAGATACAAAGTTCTGCAAATTCTACCTTGTGGCATTTTCAAAATGGCCGCTAATTTCAAGATGGCCACCAAAATCATTAAACTGAGTATTCAAACAGATATTTTGTAAATAATTATGCCATGTGAGATATCAAATGAAAGCTCATCTCACAGGGATTCCAAATATATTGATATCATGCCTTGTAATAATCGAGCCTGGCCCGGACAATCCAATGATTATTTGCATGAACATTGATCTACGCAACTCGGATATGATGTCATGTGTCAACAAAGTCAGCAAACCTGACAACCCAATCTCGCTAGTTGCCTCTAACGAAAAACACGGGTTGCTGAAGACCAAATTGTTCTGATGTTTTCACATTTCTGACTTTTGTAGCAACAGAAGCACTACGAGGAGTCTGGGCAGTATCCTCTTCCCTTCCTAGATGGTGACCAAGATGAACCCAAGAGGAAGAAGTATAAGAAGGATTCCTACTTCAGTGACGAGGAAGAACTTAGTGACAATGACTGAAGATAAGAATAAAGGATATTCCAATGAATTCTGCTACCATGATCATGAATACACCGAATGTGTTCTGATTAATAATGACCAACACAGCATGCTCCTGACATCTTGGGCAGCCAATATACAGTGTATAGAGTCTAGGCTTGGCTGCAGGGGTAGATTTACCCACTAGTCCAAGATTAGCGAAAATCTGGATGTACTTGTTGTTTTCTCCCAAAATGTTGTTACGCCACATAAACAATGTATGTGAAATTATCTGTGGACTTGAGGTATGACAAATGGTGTCTCCCCCGTGACTGTTGAGATGTCAGTCGAGATTGATGTCCTAAAAAAGTCCAGACCCAGCTTGTCTTTTGGTAATGTCTTCCCATTAATGACTTTAACAGTCGCCAAGCACAGAGTTTCTTTTCCGAAATCAACAACAAATCAGAATGCATCTTCTGAATGTGTGATTGGTGTAGAAAAACATTCAAAATAGTGGCCTTGTTGTCTTAGCAAGTCACTGATGTATGTTAAGTCAAGGAAAAAAAGGTATCAGAAATGATCTTTCAGCTGAGCAGTATGACCTCAATTTACAAGAGGACTTGCAGGTTGTATGTGAGATGACATCCTGAAGTGGAGTAAATCGGAGCTGCGTAGAGGGTATCTTGCCGCTTTTTTCACTGATGAATGAATGTTCAGTGTTAATTGTTTTGGTGTCTGTTTATTATGGCGAAGGTCCATTGTATTCATTGTATTGGAATTGAGATTCAATACACTGGGTAATGGCGGATGTCCTCTGCTCCAACTGTCTGTGTGTTGTTATCGCCATTGCTGGTGTTGTGTTATGTTTGCTTTGGTCGAAATTGAGGAAAACAATTTGGCCCCCATATGTAACCAGTTTAGCAAGACCACCTATCTCAAATGGGTCTTAACTCACATTTTGTGGTTTTGCAGAAATTCAGTCATTTTGAAAATGAAAGTCATGAATAAAAGTCCGAACTATTTTTGAGTTTTGTTCTTATTCTGATTATGGGTATGTTATGTAATGAACCCTACTCTTTTTGTATAATGTCTGAAGTATACAGTATATATATATACTGATCAGTGAAATAATAATTAATCTACCTGCCATGCACCAAATGCCAGGTAGGGTATACACAGATTGATATATATTTAATATATAATACAATAAAAAGGAGCCCAGGGACTTTCTTCATTAACTGAAACTGTGGAAATCTGGACTTGCCACTCATTCTAGACTTGCAGGGGCTACATTATGTATATTGTTTTAGGGTCTGTTTGACAGACAACTCCCATACCTTAGCCCAGACATATGTTTGTTTGTTGTTTAACGCAACACTCAGCAATATTCCAGCTATATGGCGGCGTTTTGTAAACATTCAAATCTTGACTAGACATTCCAGGGATCAACAGCATGAGCATTGATCTACAGGTCATACGATGACTTGTGTCAACCAAGTCATCGAGCCTGACCACCAGATCCTGTAAGTCGCCTAAGATTTACAACAGTCATAGTGCCAAGTTGTGTGCTCAGGCATGTTCTATGATTTGTTCAAGCCCATGAGACTCATTAACAACAGAGAATAAGCTTGGAATAAAACTGCTTTTATTTTTCTTCTTCTCGGTTGAAAACAATCACATTGTATATATTAGTTTAGATTTAATATGAATGTAAAATGATATGAAAATTAAATTATCCAAAACACACAAAACTGTGTCTGTATCAAGGTTTGTACATTCATCTTTTTCAGGAAATCACAAATTTCTTTGGCAAAAATATCACAGCCTCAGGAGATTTATACCGTACACACACCGTACACACATCAAATATCCTGAACCCTCTCAGGGATTCCTGTAGTAGCGCTCATAGGGGGCGTACATCACATGACCTTCTGGTCCAACCGGCCAGGTCTGGAGGTCGTTGTGATACCCCGGGTTGGAGCGTTTCTGTTGTTTTGTGTTGTAGAACACAGCCTGGGAGCCATCATTGGGTGTCGGCATACACAGACGGAGCTTGTTGAGAAGGTGTCCAGGCCAGAAGGCGTTGTTGTCTACGTTACCATGGAGCTGCTTGTATCGAACTGCTAGATGACTTAGAACAGAGATAAAGCACATGATATTGTTATAGAAATATAGACAAAGAAATTTCATTTTACAGGGACACGCTTAGTTCTGAATACTTCATTTTTCTTGTGTGATTATTCAGGGATTGGGATAGAGAACTTTGACAATGGGCCATTTTCAGGATTATTAGCCATTTTCTGAATTTAGAATGGGCCACTGCCCTCGTATCAATAGTAAACTTTAAAATTTTAATGGGCCATTTTTTATTCTAATGTGCAAAATGGCCCATGGCCCCTGCCTTTCCCAATCCCTGGATTATTAAAGAGCAAAATTGTAATACTGAGATCCTTTTGAAGTCAAATTGCAAACATTAGCATTAACACAATAGCAAGAGATACACTACATGAACAGGGACCACCCTATTCTTCAGTGCACCATTCTGTTGTCAATGCACAGAAAACCACTGCAAGCCTCAAAGTGTGGCGATTTCAAATTGACTTGTGTTGGTATATATGATAAGAAAACACTTGGGTCAGATTCATGATATCTTTGATCAACTGACCATGTTCATATTAGTGAAACCATTTGACTATGCAATCGCCTCTAAATAGTTTTTGCTATTACTGAAAAGAGGATACTGAAATGCTTATACTTGTTTTACTTCATTGTACAAAGAACATGAAGAATAAATATCAAATACAGTGGAAGCTGTCTAAACCGGCACACGTCGGGACTGAATACATAATCCGGTTTTGACAGCGTGCCGAAATGTAGAGCTGACATGGTTACCTACGACTAGAACTAAACCAGTTTTATCACTCTCATATACATTGTTGTATAAGGTGGTTCTCTCAACTCATTAATTAAATGTACAAGTACACCTATACTGAACTAAGATTAAAGTATCTTTGTCGGCAACCATGTAGTTTCAACACAGGATTACTGACTCCTTGCCACACGCCAGATTAGACAGCGCTGATTACAGTATAAACACATATTCGGGTGGCTCATTTCATGCCGAGATCCGGAATTGACAGCTGCCGGATTGCAGAGCTTTTAAATGATGATAAATATACTAGCCATGGACGGGACTGAGATTTTATGCCGATGTTGACAACTTTCCGGATTGGACAGCTGCCGGTTTTGACAGCTTCCACTGTAGGCTGAAATTAGGGCTGGGATGGGTAGAAATTTTCTACCTGAGGTAGCATTGCCCAATACGATAGAAGAACAAATACTAATTGTAAGATTGGTTCATTATTTCGGTTGTACGAATTTACGTAATGTAGCAGACTATCAGTTACATGTGATAAGTCACGTGATGAAACGGGTTTAGGTAGTTTATTTAGGACCAAGGTAGTGAAAAGTATTTACCTGACCCCCGATACTTGGGCAACCCATCCCAGCCCTAGCTGAAATAATTTCTGAATATTTCTAAACTCCAATAACTCTCCAGCATACCTTGTCAGGTCCTCATATTCTTCAAAAGACATCCAACAGTCAATTTTACGACTGATCAGAGCTCTCCCAGTTGACAGCGTCTCCCTGGATACAGACTGGGTCACATTGGATCCTCTGGGATATATATGACGGCTATCGATCATGAGTTGCCCGCTCTTGGATCGCTTCATCTTGTCTTTGTGCCGGACCTCCAGAGGTGCACGTGGTGGTTTCGGGGAAGTAGCAAAGCGGGTGGAGAGCAGTTTCTGGCCGGGTTGGGACACCCGTCTCTTGATGCTCCCAGGTGGAAGGTCAGGTGGATACAAAAGGACTGGAGGGGAAATAAGTTGGAAATTGACCTCTGAATTCTAATATTTCTCTTAATCATCTGATTTTAAAAAGTTGATATGTATAACCCTGTGTATGAAACTCTCAAGTACAAGGGACAAGACTCACAAAGTGATGGTAGTGTTTTCATGATGCATGAACATTAACATGGGTTTTTGACATCTGAAACATTGAATCTTCTATGTTAAATGGGAGTCAGAACTGACAAGTCCTTGTTTTATCGCCATAATACTAAGTGAGTGAGTGAGTTTAGTTTTACGCCACACTCAACAATATTCCAGCTTTATGGTGGCGGTCTGTAAATAATCGAGTCTGGACCAGACATTCCAGTGGTCATTAGCATGAGCATCGATCTGCGCAATTGGGAACCGATGACATGTGTCAACCAAGTCAGCGAGCCTGACCACCCAATCCCGTTAGTCGCCTCTTACGACAAACATGGGTTACTGAAGGCTCATTCTAACCCGGACCTTCACGGGTCCCATAATACTAAGTGCCATGCAGGGTAAAACAAGTACCACTTTACTAAACGCCTTAAGGTATGACACATCTTACTAAACGCGTTTAGGTGTGACGTATCTTACTAAAGGTCTTTAGGTATGACGCATCTTACTAAACATCTTTAGGTATGACACATCTTACTCAACATCTTTAGGTATGACGCATCTTACTAAACGCCTTAAGGTATGATGCATCTTACTAAACGTCTTTATGTATGACGTATCTTACTAAACGTCTTTAGGTATGACGCATCTTACTATACGCCTTAAGGTATGATGCATCTTACTAAACGTCTTTAGGTATGACACATCTTACTAAACGCCTTAAGGTATGATGCATCTTACTAAACGCTTCTTTAGGTATGACATCTTACTAAACGACGATCTTTAGGTATGATGCATCTTACTAAACGCATCTTTATGTATAAGGTATGATGCATCTTACTAAACTTTAGGTATGACGATCTTACTTTAGGTATGACGATCTTACTAAACATCTTTCTGTATGACGATGCATCTTACTAAACGTCTTTAGGTATGACACATCTTACTAAACGCTCTTTAGGTATGATGCATCTTACTAAACGTCTTTAGGTATGACGCATCTTACTAAACGCTTTAAGGTTGAGGCATCTTACTATTTAGGTTATCTTACTAAACATCTTTAGGTATCTTGATCTTACTCTTTAGGTATGACGCATCTTACTAAACGCTGCTTAGGTATGAACATCTTACTAAAGGTTTAGGTTGATATGATCTTACTAAATCTTTAGGTAACATCTTTAGGTATGACGATCTTTCAACAGGTATGATGACATCTTACTAAACACCTTAAGGTATGATGCATCTTACTAAACGTCTTTAGGTATGACACATCTTACTAAACGCCTTTAGGTATGATGCATCTTACTTAACGCCTTTAGGTATGACGCATCTTACTAAACGTCTTTAGGTATGACACATCTTACTAAACGTCTTTAGGTATGATGCATCTTACTAAACGCATTTATGTATGAAGTATCTTACTAAACGTCTTTAGGTATGACGCATCTACTAAACATCTTTAGGTATGACGCATCTTACTAAACGTGTTTAGGTGTGACGTATCTTACTAAAAGTCTTTAGGTATGACGCATCTTACTAAACATCTTTAGGTATGACACATCTTACTAAACGCATTTAGGTATGACGCATCTTACTAAACGTCTTTGGGTATGATGCATCTTACTAAACGTATTTAGGTATGATGCATCTTACTAAACGTCTTTAGGTATGACACATCTTACAGAACGTCTTTAGGTATGACGCATCTTACTAAACATCTTTAGGTATGAAGCATCTTAGTAAACGTCTTTAGGCATGACACATCTTACTAAATGTCTTTAGGTATGACGCATCTTAGTAAACGTCTTTATGTATGACGCATCTTACTAAACGTCTTAAGGTATGACTCATCTTACTAAACATCTTTAGGTATGACACATCTTATTAAACGTCTTTAGGTATGACGAATCTTACTAAATGACACATCTTACTAAACGTCTTTAGGTATGACGCATCTTACTAAACATCTTTAGGTATGAAGGCTCTTAGTAAACGTCTTTAGGCATGACGCATCTTACTAAATGTCTTTAGGTATGACGCATCTTAGTAAACATCTTTAGGTATGACGTCTTTATATCTTACGAAACGTCTTTAGGTATGATGCATCTTACTAAACGTCTTTAGGTATGACGCATCTTACTAAACATCTTTAGGTATGACGTATCTTACTAAACGTCTTTATGTATGACGTATCTTACGAAACGTCTTTAGGTATGATGCATCTTACTAAACATCTTTAGGTATGATGCATCTTACTAAACGTCTTTAGGTATGACGCATCTTACTAAACGTCTTTATGTATGACGTATCTACTAAACGTCTTTAGGTATGACACATTTTACTAAACACGCTTAGGTGTGACACATCTTACTAAACGTCTTTAGGTGTGACGCATCTTACTAAACGTCTTACTAAACGTCTTAGGTATGACGCATCTTACTAAATGACGCATCTTACTAAACGTCTTTAGGTATGACACATCTTACTGAACATCTTTAGGTATGAAGCATCTTACTAAACGCCTTTAGGTATGACACATCTTACTAAACGTCTTTTAGTGTGACGTGGCAGGAGATCTAAACACACATTCCATCCCCTAGACCATGGAGGTTGAGGCAACCATATAGGTCACAAATAAGAAAAACAGCAGTCTCCGGTTCCCATTTATGCTCATGCTGTTGATCACTGGATTGTCTGGTCGAGACTCGATTATTTACAGACCGCCGCCATATAGCTGGAATATTGCTGAGTGCGGCGTAAAACTAAACTCACTCACCCGGTTCCCATGTTATAACATAAACTATGAATGTTATGACAAAGGCCCTTTAACTGAAAATTTCAAATATTCCAGAGGTTCATCCACACTGGCGCATAAAGCATAAAATGACAAATTGGCTTTTTCCAAATTAAGCGGCTAACAGGTGCAGGTCTACTCCTACAATTATCCCAGTGACACAACTAATATGTTTCACCCACCTCTCTCCAACACAGGTTGTGTCAGGGGTACACCTTTCTCCTCACACATACGGACAACATCATAGTACTCCTTGAGTCGCAGCTGACGGAAGCGGTTCACCATCTCGCCCACCTCCCCTCCCAGGGTGGACACGAGTGAGTGGTTGTCAATAGCCTTGTGGCCGATCTTAATGACGGAGGAAGGGGGGCTTGGTGACACTGATGAATCTCTCTTGCTTCCAGAAGACTGAAACAAGGGAGGCAACTGAATCAAGTTGTGCATATACCAGATGGGGCAGGTTCTACTGTCTTCTGATGTAAATGTGTATAAAGTTTGTTAATGATTATCTCTAATCTCATTAAAATGTTTATCACTGGATTATCTGGTCCAGAGTTGATTATTTACAAACAGCCGCCATATAGCTGGAATATTGCTGAGCGCGACATTGAACAAAAAAATAAAAGGAAAGCATATTGGATACGATATTAAATTATCAATGAAAGGTAAATTCGGAAAACACCTACTTTCCTTTTTGAATGGGACCGTGCAAGTACCACATGATCATGTTTCCGAAGGTCGACCATTGCCTCTTCTGATGATAAAATCATCTGTTCCAGTCTAGTGTCGCCAGGAGGGGGCTCGAGGTACTGGGGAGTAGAGGCACCTCCCCTTGATCTCTCACTGCTGTTACTGCTTCTGTTGGAGGTTGGTCGGCCTTCAGCAGTCATGGTTCTCTCGATAGCTCTGTCAACTGGTTGCTGACCCATAGTGACATCACCTTGGATACGATGTGAATTCTTGGATGATGAGCTTGGTGACCTTCCACCTCTTGATGTTGCTGTGGAAAATATTGTATAACCAACTTTTCTACATATCACAGCGATCTACAGACTTTCATATGAGTGAGTTGGGTTTTATGCCACTTTAAGCAATATTCCAGCAATATCCCGGTAGGGGAAACCAGAAATGGGCTTCACACATTGTACCCATGTGGGAAATCGAACCCGGGTCTTCAGTGTGACAAGCGAACGCTTTAACCACTAGGCTACCCTACTGTCCCAACTTTCATTGGCATTTGAAAGTAGGAAGAGCATGAAGACATGACACTTTTCTATAAAATACATAACTGATCATTCTGTTGGGGTGGTGGGGTTGTGTAGTATTTATAAGGTTTGCTTGTCATGCCAAAGACCAAACATTGCTAAAAGCAGCATAAAACTAAACTCACTCACTATCATTTCTTTTCAGGGTTACTTCTTGCACCATCATGCTTCTGATGAATCGGCAAGAAGTAGACAGAGCCACAGATAACGTTTTGGCTCATTGAGTCATGTACTTGCTTGTGCTCATCTCAGTTGCGTATCCTAATTTTCCTTTGAGTAACCAAATAAATTGTACCACCTCACTCAAACTCAGTTGGGTATTTTACCATTTTCCAGTAATTCTAAAAATATAATATAGTTTAAATGTTATTTATACTGGATCTGTAATATGAGAAACGATAAGAAAGACTGCACCGGTACGCAAGCTAAGATTTGACATTTTTGTGTGTACGCATGTAAGATCAAATATATTGAGTACATGTATTTACAAAAATTCAAGTGTACTTGTACGCAACAGACTTGATAAGAATTGAGTTTTCACATAAATATTTGCGTATTTTACGCAGATACGCAGCTTATCTGTACCTCTGAGTAGACATTAATGTTGCAACAATTTTGAAGTTGTTATCCAGAAAACGTTTCTTGTCTTCAAGGATGTATTCCAATTTGTGACGGGATAAAAAGACCATTGAGATCATATGCTGAAGGTGATAGTCAATGTTGCTTTATACCTCACAGTCAATTAGCAATGCTGAAGCACTAAATGAAGCAAGTCTAGATTTCCTCAGGTTTTCTCACTGGACTCCTTTTCAAATTTAAAAGGAATTGTTTGTTTCTATCACAATTATGTATATTTAAAGACTGAGCGTTAGTCCAGTGTGACTGCTCTGTTCAATGACAAAACGTATCATCTGACACTTCAGTTTGTGAGACGTACAAGCAAAGCATAAGATAAGGGAAGTTTTAAGAACCTGGAGATCCTGAGCGACTTCTGTTTGATGAACTTCCTGAGTTCTGAGACATCTGCTCTCTCTTCTTCTCTCGTCTCTCTTTCTTCCACCTCAGCATCCCCTTGGCCAGTTCACTATAGTCAACTTCATCAGTCAGGTCTGAGTCAAGGGAGATAACCATGTCTTCCAACTCCTTCTCTGTAATGTCAAGCTGGGCCTGAAGACAAAATAGTAGAGAAATTTGATTTCCAACTACCAGAAACATTAAAGACACTGCTGAAATGTGTCACTCTGTTAGTGTAGGATGATTATCAGTTTGAAAAAATATTAGGTATAAAACATGATGAAAGATGTTGAATGTAGTAATGTTGTTTCAATCAGCATTATTTCAGCAATATCACAGCCGCCCGTAAATTGCTGGGTCTGGATCAGAAAAACAAGTGGCTGATATCATGAGCAATGTCTCACACCATTAACCAAATCACAGGCTTGACAATCAGTGTGCAAAATAGCCACTCGCCCGCTAGCCCGTGGCTAGTAAAAATCCAATCGGACCAGTTAAATCTCCAGTCACTGTCCCGACTGGCTAGTGAATTTTCATGGGGTAATTTTGGAAATATGTATCACTCTCGCCGACTTGTAAAGTTACAATACACTTTTAAATCATGCAAGATTATGGCCTGATAAAAATGTTCACCATATTAGCAGCTTAATGATGAAACCTGTGTCTACATTCACATTTCGGGCGAGTAAATTATTTTGTGGGCTTGTAACTTTCAAGCATAGCTAGCCTGACTGGTTATAACAACTTGGAATCTATTTCGCACACTGCTGACAATGTTGCTTATATTACTCAGCTGCCTTTATCTACAGTGAAAGTCAAAACAATAATTATTGTTAAAGTTGCTATGTGGAGTAATGAAATTCTTAACCCAAGCAGGCAAGCACTTGTTACTGACAAGAAAATACATTTGATCAAAGACCTGTTACCTCTTCTATGCATTTGGCAAATTCATCCTTTGACACAGCCCAGTTTTTGTCCTTGTCAACCAGACGGAAAAGATCCAAGAGCCGGACCCTCTTTTTATGGAGATGCTCATCCAGGATCTGCAGGCCATGAGGTGACGGGATCTTCATCACTGGGACAGGGGGAGCCTGTGTTAGAGTAGAACGACGGGGTTCCTTTATCACAGGCTCCCCTGGCTTAACACTTTTCTCGTCCTTCATCCTATTCATAACACGTGTCTCTAAAACTGTTTTCTGTGCTTTACCTTGAAGCCATTTGTCATTCAGACCAATGCTGTTCAAATCTTGTCGAAGTTTTTTACGGTCGCTTATCCATTTCTGATACTCATCGCATTTCTCCCTTTCCTTCTGTGCTTCCACTTCCTCCTCTGATGGTTTTATTTCAGGGGGTGTCTGTGGCTGCAGCTCAGAGTTCAAGGTTACTGCTGAAGGGGGTGACTTCCTGTTCTGATAAATGCCAAGTCTGTGTTTCATTGGTGTCTCCATCGGCGGAGCCACAATGATACGTTTCCTGCTAAGCGGACCTCCAAATATTCTCACTGCAGCTTTGTAGCCTTTCACATGACGAAGATCCCTCTGTTGGAATCCATCAAGCCTTTTACCCTCAGGGATGTGATCCATATTATAATGGTCAAACAGCCTCTCCAGAGAAAAGCTGACATCAGTATGATCCAGAAGATCTGGAGCACTGCGCTGGGAGGGTGGCATGTTTATTTATTTTTTGAGGCAGTTTTTAATGAGAGACAAAAATGTTAGGATAGGGAGACCTTAGTGGGTTATGTTGCATCCATCTGTCTTCTATATTAAGAGGCACACAGATCCATCTGAAAACAAATCCAATGTGATTAAAATATGATCTTATTCCTTGATGCCATAAAACAAAGATATGTAGACATCCAGATGAGTAATGTCACAAAGATCTCAAACTAACCTTGACCAATGGAATTTCTGACAAGAAGCTGACATTACCCAATCACATAGCTGCTTTCTTGATCTTTATGGTAAAGTTTCACACTGGCACCTTCCATTCAAGACTACACTTTGGAAAATTTTCATTCCAAATTTAAAAAATGAGTGAAAGAAAAGTCCTCCCTATGAAATCTTTTTTCTGTTAAAGCAAGATATTGAGAATGTTTTTGACTGAATCAGTCATACGGGTTGTAACAACAGGTTGTAACAAGCATTTAGAACACCCTGTGTTAACCTGTTCTAGGCTCTATGATTTAAAAAAAAACCCATTGAGATTATCTGTTTGATTAACATTTTAGAAGTTGATGAATAATAAGAATCCATGAAGTATCCTACCTTTCTAATAACATTCACATTGTCACTTTCATTATCTGCTGATTTTTAATGGTCGAGAGAAAGGTAAAGAGAGACAAATTTTATGGCTTGACAACTTCTTTATTGCAATCTGTTTGACATTTTAAGCATCAATGCTAACACCATTATCAAGCATCTACACCAAAAAAAATGCACCTATTGCAATAACGAAGTTGTCAATCCATAAAATTTGTTCCTCTTCATTATACCAGCTTCTAAATGCCACCTAAAGGAGAAAGGTAGTTTGACGTGACCCATAATGGGATGTCCTAAGATCTGATTTTGACAGTGTGAGTGTTACACAGTCAGTGACATTCCAATAATATATATGATACAAGCACGGACAAGGAAAACAGTGACTAAACATGAGAACATGAGCAACAGGCCATGCCATCTGGGCACAAGAACTCACAATATAATGAGCCAAGTGATCTGTAACTGTCACTTGAAGATTTAAATAAATTAATTGAATAATTTTAATTTTAAATTCCGCTGAATGATACATAATTTAAAACGATCATCCACATATGCAAACATGATATTCTAGGATGTTCAACCATCTACTGTGAATCGGGTTACGACGGAGTAGACAGTATAAACGCAATGAAGTGTTTACTGAACATGAAACATTTCGTTGTCATGGTAATTTTGTGTGTGCGTTTAGTCATTTCAACTTATACATAAAAAATTAAAAAAGAAGTGTATTTTGTTTCTACTACGACGCCTCGTAAGGCTGAGCCTGAGCGACACAACGAAGATAATACATCAACCCAAACAGACACTTGTTTTATTTTACTGCACTGTCATTTATCAAAGTATATTAGATTTTAAATCAATGGAATGTGAGGTCCGTGGTCAGTTAATTAAACTGAGAACGAAAAATATTTCTAAACATAATCTTACTGTTAGGATTACAGAGTCAGCGCCATCTTGTTGCCACCGTAAACAAGTATTCAAACTCCACACAGCGACAGTTTACGGCACTTCAGACTCTCGACCACAGTGAAGTATAATGTGAGGAGTTTGAAAGCGAAATAAACGCCATCTACTTCCACTCGAAAGTCATAACAGTCTTTTCAACTAATCGAACATGTGTTTCAGAAAAGATTGTGAGAAATGCGGTAAACCTACCTGGGCCGGTACGGGCAATATCTAAGATACAGAGCTGAGATATGCTATCCTCGATGCATGCAATTTTCTATTACAACACGCCATTTTTCTAATAATGAAAATGCACCCTGCATCTGTTAACTAACTGCAGACTGCAGTAAGTTTGAATTATTATCTGTTTTAGTACAACAACATTCTTTTTTACTTACTTATTTACAGGATGTGGGAATCACATTGAAAAGGCCTTGGAAGGTGTCCCTCCTGAACAGAGATGCCAGTGCCCCAGAGAAAAGAAATAACTGCAATGAATCCTGCATTTTTACATCGGCACCTCCGTGATATCAATTGGCCAACCAATTTTCACCCTAAACATTACTAAATTGAAAACACTGAAAACTTTGATTCATCATCAGTTTCACTGAACAATGACCACTGGAACAATACAGTCGTAAAAGCTGACAGTTACACACAAGATGGATACAGCATGGCATCTCATCTTCACTCATGACTGACAGCAATGTGCATCATTGCATGTGCCAAGTAATAATTAATAAGCCTAACATATTACAGTTGAATGGTTCGTTGTCGGCACAGGTACTACAGATGAGTGTACAGAAACGTACCCTAGGAAGAGTCCATTCTGCATTGTGCTGTTTTTCTTGATAGGAACTTCCATTGTATTAGATGCATTTGATTGCGCATTCTGTCCATTCTGCATTGTGCTGTTTTTCTTGATAGGAACTTCCATTGTATTAGATGCATTTGATTGCGTTATATAAAGCATGAATATACACAGTAACGAATACCACCCACAATCAGTTGAATGGGAACAACTACCTATGGTTTCGGTTTGGGGTGGCGGAATAAGGACTTGTTCTCTGTTTAGGGGATCAGGCCTTTTTCTGTGTTTTGACATAGTTTAGGGTACATTTCTGTATACAGAAACATATCTTGGGTACATATGTGTAGTACCTGTGCTGACATTGACCCTTTTAGAAACATTAACCATAAGGTTGTGAAAAAACCCCAACATGATTCAGATTCATTGTTTATTCCAAATCAGTTTCTCTAGTCATGATGCAATGTGTTTTTCTGTTGAGAATTCTTTTTCGTTCTTGCAGGTGATAATCATTTAAGTGTTAATGTTAACTTTAAACTTGTATGAAAGTTGTCTGTAAAACATGTTTAGGGAAGACATTAAACTTGATGAATGAAAATGTTTTGTAACTGAAAGCTTCTGGGCAACTTCATCATGTGAACATAAAAAGAATCAATACATTACAGCTGATATTCATTAGTAGGAAGGCTTCATGTCTTCCTAAGTTTCCTGTCATACCATGAACCAGTGTATTATGTTCTTGTTGGCTCCATTTCACCAGGAGCTTCACAGAGACTACTGGGGACAAAGTTTTCTGAAATCTCTCAAAGTGACATTACTCATCGCTTACTCACTCACTAATGGTTTCACACAACATTCCCCCTCAAAAAACATCTGAAGAAATAGGTTGAAGGTATTTAGCCTGTATCAATGACAATCAAACTTGTTCGTTTATCATTTAATTAAACCATTATGTGCACATATATGTTCCTTGTTTTCTTTTTGAAGTTGAAGGGCCCATTTTTAAATGGTACATGATGAATACAAGAAAGCAAGTATTTTATATTCAAGATTTAGGCATACTTAGCATACCTATCCAAAGAAAATCTGTAATTGTGGTTCACATTATTTCTTCAATGTCAGAGTTATATTTGACCTAAAATGTTATTCACCATGGCAACCCAAACTTTGATGATAGTGTCAAGGAATTTCTACTTAACATGTATAAGGCTGTGACATGTTATGCTTGGGATTACACTTTCTCAGATTCTAGTACTTTTGTTAGGTTGAGTCGGCCGTGGGAGCTGTACCAATGTACACTTGTCAAAGGTGGAAACAAAGTACATGATCTAAACTACCAGTTTGTGAAAGTCGTGGTGGCTGAGTGGGTTAGATGGCTGACTTTGTGTGCTGGCCATTAGGTGACTGACTCTGAGAGTGTGGGTTTGAATCGTGGAAGGGGCACAACCTAACAAAAGTCCTAGAATCTGTACTTTAAATAAACAAGGCTTTAAACAAAGCTGAGTTTCTAAAATTCTGTGGATAGTACACAAGGTAATAACGTTTCTGGGTCACGGAGCTGCTTCATACTTCCCTAAACATGTTCATTAAATCACTATAACAATAATTGGCATTAGTGTCCAATCCAAGACAGATTCTCTATGTTTAGACCCAGCTGTATCTGACAATATAGAAACGTTGAAGGGTTAAACTGAACAAGGACAAGTCATCTGTCATTTTCATGTTTCACCCGACATGCAAATTCACACATATCTTGAAAACAGACTACAGTGTTATTGTTAAGATTACTCACTATTAAACCATCATGACGTTTTGGCATTAGAGTGACCACTGATTGTAGTTGATGATGATGCCTGGGAAGTCTATGTGGATGTAGTCCCAAGCACACACAGACGAAGACAGTGTAACAACAAAAAGGATATCCTTGTATTGTTTATTACTCTTTGACTAATACACACTCTTCAAAAAACACTGAGGAACTCTGTCACTCTTTAATCAGAGAAGCAACAATCTTGGCTAGACACAAGCCATTGAATCACATCACTGTCAGTTAATATTGGGATGAATGCATGTAGCTCTACAGAAACGTCTCGGCCCAGATAATCCCGGGACACAATTCTACCCATCGAAAGTTTAGACTCATTTAGAGCACTCACTATATGTTTCATCTTACCTTCATGTAAAATACTTTAATTTCATTGGTCAATGACAGTTTAGGAGGGTGACAACTGAAAACAATATTACCCGCTGCCATGGCAACCGCCAAGGTCTCCGCCAAGACACTGAAGCGCTAACAATCGTATGACGTCATACTATGACGCATGCCGTGCCCGGAGTTCGAAAACCGTTCGATCAGCTGTATTTTGTGTTCCCTTTGTACAGATTTATTTTACTGACTTTCACTGCTTTATTTAAGCTATTTTATACATTGAGTGGTTTGCACACTCAGGTTAAACATAATTAACAATTTTTATAGCAATTTTATGCTTGTCAGATTATGTTTCACTGATGTTAAAAATCCAGTCGAGAGGCAGACGCCATTTTGTTGGCACGTCATATAGTCGGTAGCGATCATTAACATAAAAAAATATATGATATTTTCTACATTTAACATGGCGGTAAGATAAATACGTTGTATGCTTCTCCCTCGGGTAATACGGTCTGATGTACGCCTCTTTGTAGCAGTGTCAGCCCTCGCCTACCGGCTCGGTTGACAGTCACACTACTACAAAGAGGCATACATCAGACCGTATTACCCTCGAGAGAAGCATACAACTTATAATGTACAAATATATGGTTACATCAAAGATGAATTTCTTCACTAACTTTGGGGAACCAACTGCAAACCTTATGCAGATGACTTGAATGAGGATCATGCATCAAATTTCTGAAAAGCATGTGCAAATATCGTGCATGTGAACAGCGGCGTTTTGATCTAAAGATTTGTTAAGAATTCGACAATTTTCACCGAGTTTCATCATTTATTGAACTCATGACAATAATCTTTTCAACGTTACGAATTTATTTTACAATACACCAGTTCATGTGTAAACAGTACCATTAAACAGTATTGAATATTTTGCAAAATCTAGTTTAGAACAGTTGACTGAAGTAAGTGGTTACATTTACACTAGTGAGTCTAAACTTTTAATGGGTAGTATAGATTCAAACAAGGGTATGCTGCAGTCATTCAGTTACAAGATAACTCAGCACTGTCCCCTAATAAGTTCTACAGTCAAACACCATTGTGTCAAAGATGAATGGACCTATGTAAATACTTCAAGTTATCTGATGTTCAACAGAACCAAACAATTATGAATAAGGAAAGTATTTGGAGGGACCCAACATTTACTTTGAAACAACCATGAGTTCAATACATCAAAGTTTGACATGACAGTGTTTGAATGTACTTGAAATTGATACTTTTCACCCATAAACACTTAGTATCAATCAATAGGAGTTTCCTCACAGTGCCTCCAGCAGGTATGGACACGTACCGGGTACTTAATTATTCAGCAACAATCATGCAAAGTGTTACTGGAATACCTGGCTCTCAAAGACTGACTGACTGAGTTTGGTTTTTACGACGCTTTTAGCAATATTCCAGCAACATCACGGCAGGGGACACAAGAAATGGGCTTCACACATTGCACCCATGTGGGGATTCGAACCCGGGTCTTCGGCGTGACGAGCCAACGCTTTAACCACTAGGCTACCCCACCGCCCGGCTCTCAAGGACAGTTACTTAGATATATTTACTGTCTGGAAGACATGATGTAATTGTGGTCTAAATATGAGGCAATGGAATTCTTGACAGAACATATCCAACAAAAGGCTTAGACAATATATTTGATTAAACACTGTATAGTAAGTACCCTGTGTTCTTGTTTCACAATGCCAACTCCACACTTATTTATTTACTCATATACCTCTCTTTTATCTCAACCAACACTCATTCCTCTCAACACTCCATTTACAAAGGCTAACATTACTGAGGTCTCTCAAGATAAGACCAGTGTCTCCCTGCCATTGCATAACCTATGAAATGTCCTTGCTCTTTCTGCAGCTCTCAGAATCTGACAACTTTTCGTGATGGTACATGTTGAAGTGCAGTTTTCCAACAGTTGCTCTGTTTGAGCGTCACCAGAATCTTGATCACTTGATCGATTGTCAGTCTCTTTCCTCCTTTCTCCCAGCTGAAATGAGAACAGAGAAGCATTTAGACTTGGCCTCTACAACATGGATTTTTTTCAGGGAGCAAAAGTAAAAGAAAAAAACACTCAGCAATATTCCAGCTATATGGCGGTGGTCTGTAATGAATCGTGTCTGGACCAGACAATCCAGTGATCGACAGCATGCGCATCGATATATATGCAATTGGGGTATGATGATATGTGTCATCCAAGTCAGCGATCCTGAACATCCGATCCCATTAGTCGCCTCTTATGACAAGCTGAAAACCTATTTTAATCTGAATCTTCATGGGTTCCACCAAGGAACTATTCTCACCAGAAATATCCACTAATTGTATCAAATTCAGCCTGAGGATAAATAAAACCACTTACATCAGGTAGTTGTCCAGGGGAAACTTTGCAGTCCTAATACGCTGTTCTTTTGCTTTGGCAAAAGTTAGTGGTTTTGTAATGGCCTTGTCAATGAGACCTCCAACAATGTAGATGTCATCATAACTAAATTTGCTCAAGACCTTGTCCGTATGTGGAGTGAGATACACTAACTTTTCTTTCGGATACAGATCTAGATAGTCCTTCTCTGTCACTGTGAACATCATTTTGTCAAGTGAAAAACCACATCTTTTTGACATATACTGAATGGTTCTATTCGAGGAAGAAGCATTTGCAAATATCATATGAAATGGTTCTGGGTCCTCACAGTTAAACCTGTGACCCATGAAAAGTTGGTTTGCTAAATGTGAAGAATCCATGTCTCGCATGTGGTCATCAAAGTCAAGATCGATGACGACATCAGGTCCAAACATCATTGAATGAGCCACGTTATTGTTCCGATAGAGTTTTGCTGGGTTGTTATACATAGGGAAAATAATGTTTGATTTTTTCGCCCTTCCCCCTTCAGGTTTTGGTATCTGTTCTGCTTTCAAAAGAGCCCGTTTGGCCTTTTTCATCATTGCAGATTTCTTTTTTCTCTCCGTTTTCACAAGGTAACGATAGAAACGTCTTCTCGAACTTGGTGATGGTAAATTTAGTAATTCTAGCCAATCAGATGGTAGGATATTCTCTGGTACCTGCAACAATATCAAGAAAATTTCAAATGTGAAAGATCTTCATGAAAGAACAGAAACCAAGAAACAGATGTTGAGGTTTGCAGTCATTATATTGTAGGCAAAACCAATAAACAAAATCACTAACTACGTTTGTGCAGCAAACAAGAACAATGACCACCACCTTAATATTTCATGTCCTCATTGATCAATAACTGAACTGGATGGGAACTTGTCTCAGCTTATTACTGACACCCAAAGGTATATAATATACATTTGACTCCTGAGGTTACCCATGCTTAGAGACTATAGTTTGTAATACCTCTGACCCCTAAAATCAGATGATTTGTTCCAATCAACCTTATATTAATTGTGGGGTATGCTATGCATTCTATGGAACCAATTATTTTTTTTGGCATTGAATTGTCAAGAATATTCTCAAACAGGCCTGTAGCAAGCCAATTTTTACGTGTAACCCCGAGAGGATGCTAAGCTTTATATTTAGATAGTATTGAGGGCTTTCCCAATTTTCATGGTGACCTTTAGCAAAAGTCATGTGTAAGCCCGGGCTTTTTTTATAATGCTAGCTACGCCCCTGTCAGATATCCAACAAAAAATTGTTGTAAAAAGTGGTTGGAGACATACATCTAAACGGGATTGCTGGAGTACATCATATTCTAGCTTTATCAAATCAAGCTTCTTTTGTCTAGCTGGGTCGAGATTGGCAAGAACTTTCTCAGCAGCAACATCTTTCTCTTCCTTTGTCATATGTAAGTCATCATGTTGCAGCCTCGATGATTGAAACAACACAGGTTTTGGCAACTTCAATCTCTGGTTCTTGCTTGGACAAACCATTGTCCACATGTGCCTTGAAAGAAGACTACCATTCTGCACAGGTCTTTCTGTAGATGTCCGGATTAATCCTTGTACCCGACAACGTGTCCGTAACAACTGCCTCAGCATGGTGCAGGATAAATCAGTTAACAGTTGTTGTTTGCTTCCTATTAATGAAAATAGATAGTGCAATTAGATAGTTAGTATCAGTATGTTTCATGATGATCGTGAGGGTATACATTCCGTATATTCTATTGGCAACTTTCATAAGTTAAAAGGGAAACTAGGCTCAAGACAAGGTATTACAAGGGTTGTTTTTAACCACAGTATATATCTAGTTTTATATAAAATAGCAAAAAGTCTTGAAATTATTGTTAAATGGTCATACGATTTAAAGTAAGACTTCGTTCATTTAAACATTTGCTTGTTTTTGACATGAAAAGGCAAAAATGTATCAAAAATGCTCATTTAGAGTGAGTGAGTTTAGTTTTGCGCCACTTTTAGCCATATTCCAGCAATATCACACCAGAAATGGGCTTCACACATGCTCATTTAGATGTTTTCAAAAAGAATCCTTTTTATATTTGAACATGAGCAAATCTTTGACTCAAACTGTTAGGTAAAAACATTATCATGGTTATAGGTACTGGAACAGATGTCATTTTCGGCCATTTAGGAGTCTTGAGTGAGTGAGTGAACTGGGTTTTACGCTGTTTTTAGCAATATTCCAGCAATATCATGGGCTTCACACATTGTGCCCATGTGAGGAATATTATTGGAACCTGGACCTTTTGTCGTGACGAGCAAACACTTAAACCACTAGGCTACCCCACCGCCCCGTGGGATTCTTGAACATACAAAAATGTCAAATTTGCTAGTCTAAGAACCAAAATGCTATCTGTCAAATATTTGCCATTCTTCGAAAGTAGAATGTGCATGATACGACTGATGCTGTTGTATAGGTATGTGACCAAAGATAAGGTGTTTGATTTCAGTCTGACATATCCGTATTGACCAGACAAGCTAGCTGTTGTGACTGTTAATAGACCATTATGACTCGTAGTCGTTTTAAACCGATACCGAATAATAGTGCCTTCGTGTGCAGATGTGTCTTATTTGAGAATATGACCTGGAGGCCTCATACATATCACTACAGACAGATCATTCATGCTGTTACCTGTTTTTTCAAAATGGCACCGAATCGCATAATTACCTAATAAGGGTTTAACGTCCTTTACATTTCTACGCCATCAACAGCATTTCTGAATCTCCCCTTGTTCTTGTCATTTGCGTGAATCTTCTGCCACAGTTTTCGCTCACACCATGCGGTTCAGTTCTGCTTAAATCCATGAAAAGTTGATACTGGCAGACGTTTATTGGTTATGCCATTTCAAAAATATCTGATCATTTTCGTAAAATATGTACCTAATTTTTTATTAGGCTTACAACATGAATAATTGATATCGTTGTGCAAGTAATTTATTTATGCTGTATGAGGCTGGACCAAAGGTCAAGGCCGTTTCAAACTGGTTCCATTGCCGGTTCGCGACAAACTTGATAACTTGATAGACGGGAGTCCAGCCAAGAGCAGTGCTCGACGTTGGTCACACGGTGTAGTGAGGATGAGCTTTCTTCTTCCTAAACTTAGTACGAAGAAACAGGTCGATCATACAATAAAGACCACAGAGGATCTAGTTTTGGTTTTGCGGTTTGGGAGAGATGATGATCATGGTTGTCTACAGATCGATGATATCGTAAGCATTTTATCGTCGGATCATAGATATTTACTATTAGCTAAGATATGTTCATGTTGGTGAACGCTATGTATCTTAGCTACATAGATATCTGATATTCCCCATTTCGGAGTCGGACGGCAGTGCTCACTCAGGGGGTAATGAGTCGCAGGGGTGTTGTTTTAGTAATGAATAGTGGCTTTTGTTTAGGATAAAGTTGCGGAAAGAGTTCCTTACGTACCCCCTGCCAATTTTATAAGGTACTTTTTATCCCCCGCAACGCGTTTTGCGGTATTAAAATGGACTCCGCCCGGTAAGAGTTCCTCCCGTTCCCCATCTCAAATAATATTTATAAATATACTAAAATTATTAACAAACTTAACACAGCAATTACTGGAGAACTCACAAAATGACTAAAAGTCCAAAATTTAAGTTAGGTTTAGAGTTAGGTTTAGGGTTGGGGGAACGGAAGGAACTCTTTCCGTCTTCTTGTCATTACTTGTATATCTTTGTATTGTTTGAAAAAATTAGGTGTGTGTGTGTGTGTGTGTAAGTACGTAAGTAACTCTTACTGCAGGGGCGTAGCTACTAGCTACAATTATAAAAAAAGCCCGGGCTTACACATGATTGCTGCTAAAAACATTGGGCAAGCCCTCAATACTGTCTGAATATAAAGCTTTGCAACCTATCAGGCTTACATGGAAAAAAATGGCTTGCTACGCGCCTGTCATGACAAACCCAGATTGCAACATTCTATGCAAAAATTTACCTGACAACCGGACAGTGTTTATATGTGTTGTGATAATTGCTACTTAAGGCACATGTGAGGCAAATTGTCAAGTATAGCACTTTTAGGTTTAATAGTGTTAACTTATAAACACAACTGAACCCAAGATCTTGCAAAGAACAAAAAAGGCCATACGAAACTCGTGTACATATCAAATTTGTGCCATGTTGAAAAGCCTCACTTTTGAAGCTAAGTTTGACATATACCTTAATCAACTCATATAACTGTATTGGGTGTGACAAGGATAATATACCAATAGAGTACCTGTAGATCTTCATGTCTAATCTCTCTGAAACAATGTCTAATATCTCTGTATTACAAATAGCTGGCCAAGGCTGCCCCTGAACTGGCAAAGATGGCAGCTATTTACCTGGTCGAGGTGGATGCAGTGCCAGTATATCGGACCTACTTTGATATCACTCTCATCCCTGCAACAGTCTTCTTCTTCAATGCTCAACACATGAAAGTGGACTGGGGGTAAGATTTATCTCAAGTTTTGAGCAGAAACTATTCATTGTCTCAAACTTCAAATTATAATGAAACTGGATGAATTTATATGGTGGTCTGATGATTGTGGTGTTAAAATTATGAACAAAGAGATAAGTCGTACCTCCAAACATCATGGTGTCTTTTAGAACCTTTCCAGTTTTTGTTATTTAACAAAACAAAATCAAATCTGAATAGCCACAATGTATTCGTTAACTTCTGAAATTTTAGATTTCTCCAGATATTTCTGTTTCCAAAGACAAACTGCAGACATGCAACGTTTATTGCTTACATACCACAAAGGTATTGTTGTTTTAGTGGTTTTAAACAATTTTTACTCATTCAATGTGGTACCATTAGCTGGTAATACATGTATTTCTGACTGATATAGAACAATAATCATAACATGTAAATCTGATTAATTTATGTTAATTTTCTGCCAGGAGTCCAGACAACACCAAGTTTATTGGCAGTTTTAAGAAGAAACAACATTTTATAGATCGTAGAGACGGTGTTCCGAGGAGCCATGAAAGGCAAAGTGATGGTCAGGAGTCCTCTTGATCCCAGCGATATCCCGAAGTATGATCTCATCTATAAGGACATATGATATGTGGATTTGTGGAGATGACAAGGCTAGATCTGACATGATGGGATACTTTCCAACCAATTGGATTTGTGGAGATGACAAGGCTAGATCTGACAGGATGGGATACTTTCCAACCAATTGGCCAGGTCAGATGGCAGCTGTAACCATGGTAACCTCCATGTGCAAGAGAAAATGGCATGATGTCCACGTGTCTTGTTTCTAACGGGAGGACCGGGTGGTGGGGCAGACTTGTGTTTAAAACGTTCACTCATCATGTTGAAGACCCGGGTTCGATTCCCCACATGGGTACATTGTGTGAAGCTGATTTTGGATGTCCCACACCATGATATTGCTGGAATACTGCCAAAAGCAGCATGAAACCAACTCACTCACTCATGCAAGGACAATTGCTGTTTTGAAGTAGATGGACAATTTGTATTGACTGTGTGGGGAGTCCATGGAAGAATTGGTCCACACTGCCTATACTTTGTTAAAGAAGGTGACCAAAAGTAGCACCTTGTGGTTACAATGTGTGACCTGAGTGTGATACGTTGCTCATGCTATCAGCCTCTGCTCTGTCTGGTCTCCTTACAAGTTACATTACACAGCATTGTGACAGAGCTTAAGTATTTGTGATTGTGGCAAAAAGAACAATGCATCTGTGAAAAGCAGAACAGAACCCGTTCTCTGGGTCCATGTATTTTATGAATACTGAAGACAGTAGACCCTCAACTACCTTGGCTACATCTGTACACAACCGGAAGGGGCTTCCTCGCCTAGTAAGATGCGATCGTTTATGAGTTGGCTAATTAGAGCTGGACAAAAACAATGAGCTCTGTGGTCAAACAATGTGCTGAGCTCACTGGCTAAAACAAAGGGCCTGCCTTGAGCGCAAGATGAAGTAATAAGAGGAGCATCTCGGGGCATCTCGAAGTAATTCATTCTGTCCTGTTATGGTTCCTTTATGAATTTCTAGGAAATAAAAGAGATATGAAGCTAAGACCTCAAATACAGATATGAAAATACAAGAAATGTGACATGAGAAATAACTTCTTAATGAGGAATGTTTACAAAGTTTTCCTAGTCCGGACAGAATTTGCTGAAGGTAATGTGAGCAAAGACGTGTAACTGATAACTACTTAACATATCTAATAACAGTTATTTTGCTAGAAGCAGAGGGTATTTGAACATTTTCTCGATTTTGTCAGTTTTCGAAAGGACTTTCTTTTACATCATTAACAAATGTATTAAGACCCTTTGGATTACATTTAGGGTTACAATCCTTCATTGTTCCAGAAAATTAATGGATCTGATTCCTAGCCGAAGAAACAGGAATCACAAAGTGAGTGTGTGAGTCAAAATGTAAGGTCACATGGGCAGTATTTTAGCCATATTATGACAAGGAATCACAACGACAAGAGAGAGGAGACTCTTGTAATTCTATTGATAAACAATAAAATGCTTTCTTCCAGTTCCAACAGAGTTGTTTGTTTTTTTAACTTGCAACTGTAGTTGCATAATACATTTACACTATTCTCATTCATGTTAAGATTATGGATTATTATTATCCCCCGCAACGCGTTTTGATGGGGGTATTAAAATTGACTCCGTCCATCCGTGCACATTTGTCTTTTCCGGAGCAGAACTCTAAAACCGTTCACTATTTCTTCACCAAACTTGGCACATACATGGATCTGGTGGTGTACTGGTGCCTTTTGGTAGTTTTGGAATTCTGAATTAAATATTTTTGGCGTTTCCATGGCAACAAGTTTGACTTAGCCTGAAATTGGTGGTAGTGCTCTTTTCCGGAGCAGAACTCTAAAACCGTTCACTATTTCTTCACCAAACTTGGCACATACATGGATCTGGTGGTGTACTGGTGCCTTTTGGTAGTTTTGGAATTCTGAATAAATTATTTTTGGCGTTTCCATGGCAACAAGTTTGACTTAGCCTGAAATTGGTGGTAGTGCTCTTTTCCGGAGCAGAACTCTAAAACCGTTCACTATTTCTTCACCAAACTTGGCACATATATAGATCTAGTGGTGAATTGGTGCCTTTTGGTAGTTTTTGTTTTCTGAAAAAAATATGTTTGGCGTTTCCATGGCAACAAGTTTGACTTAGCCTGAAATTGGTGGTAGTGCTCTTTTCCGGAGCAGAACTCTAAAACCGTTCACTATTTCTTCACCAAACTTGGCACATAGATAGATCTGGTGGTGTACTGGTGCCTTTTGGTAGTTTTGGAAGTCTGAATTCAATATTTTTGGCATTTCCATGGCAACAAGTTTGACTTAGCCTGAAATTGGTGATAGTGCTGCTTTCTGGAGCAGAACTCCAAAAACCTTTCAATACTCTCCTTCCACTTTTCTATATACACACCTAAATATTTGACATAATCATAACTCATAGACATAATCATGAAGAGTATTTTGCCATTGTGGGGGATATTGATGACTTTGTCTTCTTGTTTATTCTAAACACATCAAGAGGTGAAGTAAAATCAATGTCAACAGGAACTGTGAACCTTTCTGGCTGCTATACAAACTCTGAACTATCTGATTTTCAAGCCACAGACCCTCTGCCAATGAAGCAGTGTGATGATACATGTTAACAGAGTCTTATGTGGAAGAAATGTTCTGTGTAAATGCATACAATGAGGGGTGAGTGAGTTGGGTTTTACGCCGCTTTTAGCAATATTCCGGCAATATCACGGTGGGGGACACCAGAAATGGGCTTCACACACTGTACCCATGTGGGGAATCGTACCCGGGTCTTAAGGGTGACGAGGACACTTTAACCACTAGGCTACCTAACCACCCTGCATACAGTTGAGCATTAATCAAGCACAACCCACTTTTTTGTATATTAGTATGAAAATACTACGTGTTGTACATGCTTCTAAAACCAAATGCCACATATTAATTAAAATGATAACTGCAACATATCTGACTCGGATTGAAACCAAAATCTCCACATCCCTGCAATTAAGCCGCGATTTTCTTAGATAATACAATCAAAACCACAGAAGATATAGTTATGGTTTTGGAGTTTGGGAGAGATTGCTGATGTTGCTGCAGGTCGACATATTTTATTTTCAGTGAAGATCTGGTTAGAACGATCTTTAGCAACCCATGCTTGTCCTAAGGGAAGGATGGTCAGGCTCGCTGACTTGGTTGACACGTCAACAATGCTCATGCTGTTGATCACTTGATTGTCTGGTCTAGATTCGATTATTTACACACTTCTGCCACACAGCTGGAATACTGCTTAGTGCAGTGTTAAACAACAGACAAAGAAGAGTTTGTGAAATTTAATCATACAAGCTGAACCTCTCAATTCTTGAAACTTTTAAGTTCTTGAAACTCATTTTCCCTGAGCAGGAGCACACTTGTAATACAGTATATATGCGTACTGGTACGACCCGAACAGTCTTCATGTGGATTTCCGGCTGGAATAGGTCACCAACCACATGAGTTGATTGTAATATCAGCGAGTCAGCCTTATGGGTGACTTACATGGTCGTGGTATGGTGTCGTGGATTGTTCGTCATACTGCCAATCACTGGATTGTCTGATCCAGGTTCCATTATTGACAGGTCGCGTTCATATAATAACTGGTACACTGCTGAGTTTTGTGTTAACAAACAAACGTGACAAGGATTATATATAGTGCATGACATTGGTAAAAGTTATCACGCTCATTAAAACCTCTGTATTATGGGACTTCCATGTTTATAAACATTCCTCTGGTTTCAACTAAATGGATACAAACTGTAAAGTCTCCATTATGTCACAAACGGGAAAGGCAAGCGGTAAAACTCTCAGCAAGAAGTGTGATAAATATCAAGTCCAATGGGGCGTTGTGGGCGAGCTGTCTAAGGCCCCAGGCTCGTGATCCAGCGAGCTTGAGGTGCTGGGATCGAGCCCACCTGTGACCTGTGTAAAAACCTTGGAGTCAGCTGTGTGCAGACCCTTCCGGTGTTGTCACAACCCCTGGTGTACAGTACACAACCCCTAGTGCACAGTACACAACCCTGTGCACTTAAAAGAACCAACGAATCCGTTGGTAAATGACCAGATGTGGCCACATGAATACGTGCGGGTACAGCAAGGTGCAGTAAACTTGGACACAGTACTGTGACTATGTGTCCCAGTTCACCCACCTGTGAATGGGTACCTCGTTAGGGTGAGAAAGTCACATTAACTTGGTGCGCCTAGTAGCTACAGGAATTGTATGATCCCCAGGGAGTTGAAATTGATAATACGATGTGCCGTGAAGATTGACATCCAGTGATGGAGGGAAAAAGCAAAGCACCTGTGAGCAGCCTAGCTGGAACTCGGCGCTAATAAATAGATTATAATAGAATAACAGACACGTGTTAACTTGTCAGACATCGGAGGAATATGCTGTTGCCCAAATATCTCTGACTCAGATGGTAGATGGAGTGACAGAGAAAGCAGCATGTACACGTCATCTGAACAACCACTCACTAGACAAATATAGAAAAAACCCGTTCAAGTGCTATCTTGATCTTGATGATGCATCAAACCGGTAAAACCTAGGTGGTTTATTTAGAATAATATGTAATCTAACAAGGTGGTGATTAAGTAAGGTGAGTGAGTGAGTCGCGTTTTACGCCGCTTTTAGCAATATTCAAGCAATATCACGTCAGGGGACACCAGAAATGGGTTACACACATTGTATCCATGTGAGAAATGGAACCCGGGTCATCAGCGTGACAAGCGGACACTTTAACCATTAGGCTACCCAACTGTCCTGATTAAGCAAGGTGTGAGGCCCGCGTTTTCTTTTTAGAATGTCATTTAATGGAGTCTTGTTTTGGAGACCTAGTATTAGTATAGGCTGTATTCCTAAAATCATTCAACCCCAGGTGATAATGCAGAACCGTACATGCATGTTATATATTCAGGTACTGGCCGACGTTAGATCTTTGTGCCAACAGATTGTTATGGTTGTTTCGTTTCAAATGATACATTGAGTTGACGGAGTTCAAGGTAATACAGGAAATCAGTCTTCCAGACGACCTCAGCTGACACTACAACTGCCTTTCTACGGTAGCTGGGGTATCATTGGGTGTGGACAGCACCCGCAACTCATTCCTACACTTCACCATGCATGAGGAGAGTTATACTTTCCCCGCTACTCGGAACATTTGGACACGCAAAATACACCCCCTATATCTACTGACCACGTTCTTCACAGGGAAGTCCAACACACATGGCTTTCTCGGAATGGAGCCCACGTGACCAATGACAGTTGCAGCGTGTAACCCATGTCCAGGCACCTCGGTCGTCTAAATATATCCTTCTAGAGTCATGCGTTCTATTTAACCAATGTCACCCTGACTATCAAAACTATGTTAGGCTAGTCCCAATGCTTGACCAAAGTGCCAAAATATTCTGTAGGCTAATAATTACTTTATGGTCCAATCTGGTCTATCATCGGTTTAATAAAGATCCAGTGTACGTGTGTTTTCTGTCAATTTCAACTTGATATCATAGTTTGACCAAAACGTTTGGTCCTAAACTGTACCTTCATCGTGTTACTTGGGATTATGGTTATGGGTATCTACCGTTGGGCGTCCTGTAGAAAGTACTACTGAAAGGTTGACAGATACTTCAGCATGAACAACTCGAGTATATCGTACACAAGCAATATGGTGGCCATGCAAATAGAGGATGTAGTATGGACCTTTTAATTTATCAACGAAATCGGCGATTTCTTGCTTAGAATTTCCAAGGAATCAGGAAATCTACAATTGAGTATATTTTATAATGGTTAACCCATATACACCTGCCAATTACCACAGACTGGAAGGACGTTGCACTGATGTCTCAATCGTCTAGTATCCTATGGATGTGAATAACAGTACTTGGTTAAAGAAAATCAACCACTGAGTGTATCGTTAGCATACGGGAAATGTATGTTACATACTATATATTGTTATGCTTAATGTATATCATGTTTTGTTTAAGATGAATACTGTACTGTATGGACTAGTCGGAAGAGTTTAAGTTTGTTAAAGTTAATAGTGTTTTGAGTGAATGAGTTTAGTTTTACGCCGGTTTTAGCAATATTCCATCAATATCACAGCGGGGGACACCACAAATGGGCTTTACACATTGTACGCATCTGGGGAATAGAACCCGGATCTTCGGCGTGACGAGGGAACGCTTTAAGCACTAGGCTACCCCGCCACCTAACTAGGGCTTTGAAAGGGTGAACCAAACAAAACCTCATAAGCGTATTTATACAAAAATAAAGTCTGCTATATGCGTTCTTTTTGGTCCAAATAGAAGGGTGTAATTTTCCATTTTGAGTTGTTCTGTGCGTTCCCAATTTAAAACTGACCTGTCTTGGCATTACTTTGTAACGGTTGCCACCGGTAGGGCAGGGTAATGCAACTTTTTCGCGAACACCTGGTGCCATCACTATTTGACAGTGATTCATAAACAC